CCCTGACCAAACTTTGTATTAAAAATGACCTCAAAAGCACTTTATTTTATGGTTCATGCAATTAAATCCTTCCTCATCCCCGGATCCCCCTCCCTGACAATTTACATTGTCCTATCTCCCAGTGTTTTAAAATTTTATATTTGAATTTGGCCCTGTCCAGTGTAATATTTTGTGTTTTAATGTTTGATTTTATATTGCTATGTCATTTATTATATTGGTTTTGCATTTTATTTATTTTATGTTCTGGTTTTGTTATGTTTCTGTGTTATATTGTGTATATTGTGTTTATTGATGGGCGTGGCCTCATGTAAGCCACCCTGAGTCCCCCTGGCGGAGATGGAGCGAGGTATAAATAAAGATTATTATTATTATTATTGGAAGCCCCCGGTGGCGCAGTGGGTTAAAGCACTGAGCTGCTAAACTTGTTGACCGAAAGGTCGCAGGTTCGAATCCAGGGAGCGGCGTAAGCTTCCGCTGTCAGCGCCAGCTTCTGCTAACCTAGCAGTTCGAAAAGATGCAAATGTGAGTAGATCAATAGGTACCGCCTTGGCGGGAAGGTAACGGCGCTCCATGCGGTCATGCTGGCCACATGACCTTGGAGGTGTCTATGGACAACGCTGGCTCTTCGGCTAGGAAATGGAGATGATCACCACACCCCAGAGTTGGACACGACTGGACTTAATGTCAGGGGACAACCTTTACCTTTACATTATTATTATTATTATTATTATTATTATTATTATTATTATTATTAAAGTGGATAAATGCTCGTGTGACGAAACCCCTAAAGCTGCTTTCTCCAACTGGCAGTCTTCAGAGGTATTGGTCTACAACTCCCTTTGTCCCACTTAGCTTATTAGTTTGCCACATGGATGGAATTAATGGCAGCTATCCTGAAACAGTTCTCAGTGGAATACCATTGAATCAAGGCTCAAGGCCTTTCCCCCTTTTAAACTGTTATTTAATTTTGGTCAGTGTTGGTATCCAAAGCCACCCTTGTAATCTGACCGACGCACACTCAAGAAGTTCCATGTAAATGTAAGCAGAGAGAAGCTTGTTTTGCATAGCGCTGGTTTCTTTTCTGTTCTCTGGCCAGAAATGCAGAAGAAAACAAAAGTTTTATCCCTAACACTGTGCATAATAAGACAACCTCTGCAAGACCTAACAGAAACTGTTAGTTCATTACAAACTAACAGCAGTCATTACATATGATTAATTTTATGATCAAGACACATTATCTGGTTCTCGTTCAAAATAGTTTGGCTGGTTTGAAATAAAATGTTCGTGAGAGATAGGAAATAGATTTTTGTCTCAGACTCCTAAATGTCTTGGCAGGGATCCCATGGTCTTATAAAAGCTTTCAAACATAAAGAAGAATACAGTAATCACAGCAACTTGGCCAGGTCTGCCCAGAAATCCATCCAATTGCATAAATTATTTTACCATTAGAAGAAATATACATGTATGTACGTAGCCATAGCCACATGTTTACATCTGGGATTGGAAGAGAATTTATTTGGTACTTAAAATGTGATGTTTTTACAACAACAACAACTTATTAAGGTGGTCCACACCTTAGTTACCTCTAGATGGGACTATTGCAATGCTCTCTATGTGGGGCTACCCTTGAAGACGGCCCGGAAACTCCAACTGGTCCAACGTTCGGCAGCCAGATTATTAACGGGGGTGAATTACAGGGAGCAATCAACCCCCCTGTTTAAGGAGCTCAATTGGCTGCTGTTTATTTTCTGGTCCCAATTCAAGGTGCAGGTCATCACCTATAAAGCCCTAAGTGGTTTGGGACCCACTTACCTTCATGACTGCATCTCCACCCACAAACCTGCCCATTCACTTCGATCTCACTGTTCTACAAATTTTCAGTTTTTCTTAGTTACGGAAACGAAATGTGCCGTTTCTTAATAAATTTAACATGCTGAATTCAAATATAATAATTAAATGTGTTAATTGGCTCTGGTTTTTATGCAACAGCTATTTCATTTTTTTTCCACAATAGGTAATTCGTTAATATTATGATAATGCGCCTAACCTTACTGCATGTATATAAACCGTGAATATTTACTAAATTTTAGTCAAATTATATTGCCAATAGTTTATACATGAGAAATATTTATTTAATTAGTCTATTGTTTATGTTTGTGCAGCAAGAAACTATATTAGTAGGCCTAATGCAGTTGAAAAGTCTGAAAGTTTAAATGTCGCTTTAATCGTGACTTTAGTTTATATCCTGTTTGCTTCTCTTGACTTTTCTTTTGTATTCAAGGAAAGGATTGTCTCTTACAATGCTCCAGCAGTAGTCTGACAGCATTGACGGAGTCCATTTACCTTGATATCTTTTTTCCATAGTGCTTTATTTACACACGTGCGAGGCATAACTACAGTAAAAAGAACAATGTAAAACGATGTTTAACGATACTGTCTCAGTCTGCAACTGACTGACCCTCACCGTTCAAAAGTCTGGCCTTATATAGGGCTTTCTGGCTTTTGCACACGGCACTAATACTGAGTCATCAAACTTTCTAGAATATTCTAGAATCTTCCATAGTGTAAGTCGCAACATGCATTTTTTTAACCATACGTGATCACGTGATTGCTTATATCATAAAAACTAGAGCCAATATACATTTTTAAATGTCATTTTCATTTTCAGCACCCCAAAATCATAAAAGAACAACTATTTTCAGGCCCGAAACTTTTTCTCCGTTGAACAGTGATCTTCGGGGGAGGTCCTCCTTTCGCCCCTTCCTCCATCAATAGATTCGACTTATGGGCACGAGGGAGAGAGCCTCCACCAATGATGGTATTGAACCAAATCTGGCACACAGGGCTCCCATGACCAACAGAAAACACTGGAAGGGTTTGGTGGGCATTGACCTTGAGTTTAGGAGTTGTAGTTCACCTACATCCAAAGAGCACTGTGGACTCAAACAATGATGGATCTGGACCAAACTTGGCACAAATACTCCATATGCCCAAATATGAACAGATGGAGTTTGGGGAAAATAGACCTTGACATTTGGGAGTTGTAGTTACTGGGATTTATAGTTCACCTACAATCAAAGAGCATTCTGAACCTCACCAATGACAGAATTGGGGCAAACTTCCCACACAGAACCCCCATGACCAACAGAAAATACTCCAAAACTCTGTCTGTCTGAATCCAGAGTAGCTTGGCGTGTTCATTTTCTGTAACTTTTTTCTGGCTTCTGATCCCACCAGTTCTTTGTTGCAGGCAGATGGTATTTGTGGCACAAGTTCCAATGAATCATCTGAGCAACGGTGTTATGCCTCTGCTTGTAGCCTGTCTACATTTGGGATCTGTTCAGGGCCGTAGCCAGAAAAAAATTTCGGGAGGGGTTGAAAATTTCGGGGGGGGGGGGTTTGAAAATTTTCGCAGGGGGGGTTTGAAACCTGCCTCCTAGCTCACGCTGAAGCAAAGAGCACAGCAGGGGCAGAGCAGCCTTCAATAGCCTGCAGCTCCGCCCTGTCAACCACCTCCACCAAGTCTGGCCTCCTTAATGAGAGCATTCAACACCACCCCCCCCCCCAACTTGGTTGCTTCACTACTGTTCTGTCGCGCTGGGCCTGTAAATAATTGTCTTTAGAACAGGATGTGCAACCTTTGCCCAGCGGGAAACCAGGGGGCCTAAAGAAGTTCTCAGAGGTTTTCCACCACAAATAATCTTTAGATGGCTTGTGAAGTACAACAAAGTCTTTTATTAATGAACAATCAAACAGAAACTTCTCTTGTCTTCAGTAAAGTTAAGCAAATGATTCCAAGCTTTTAGGCAACTGGTGAATTCCTAATCTTGCCCACGAAGGACAGGCAACTGTCTTCAATAACTTCTTCTTTAAAGGAAAATCCCCTTTTTAACTTCTCCCAGGCTGACTGTAATCTAACCCTTACTGATGTGGGCTCCGCTACTGGGTCAAACTGCATCTCCAACGCCGAGTGGACCTACCAGCAAGGCAGTAGATGTTCTCCAGCTGGAGTTCTTTGGTCTTTAGGGCTGTTTTCCTGGAAATTCTTTGGAGACTCTTAAGACCTTTCTCCCCTGGAAGGTCTTAAGGGTTGAAGCTTTTGTACAGGGGAAGCTTGCACACATCCTATACATAAGCTTACCTTGCTGAGACTAACTAAAAATGGCTCCCTTCCCTTCCCAATTGCCCTGAGCAAGGGTGGGACCAAAACTTAACAATGATGGACAGGTGACTTGCCCTATGACTGCAACCAAAGAAGCCACCTATCTGCAGAGTCCCTGAAACCTAGGACTGCAAGCAAACATTTAATACAAAGCAAATAAAGTTGGAGCTCCTGGTACAGCTGTACCAGAACAACTACATCGGCTATTGCTGCAAGTAATGACAGTGTGAATAAATTGCTAATATTTGCTTCAGATAGTGCTTGCAGTTCTGGAGGGACTCTTGATTTTTTGCATCTCATAGACTTAGCAGCATGGGGATTGGGTTAACCAGTTACAATTCATGAGTAAACCAGGTTTTTTAAAAAATCTGAAACATTTCGGGGGGGGGGGGGTGAACCCCTAACCCCCCCCCCCCCCCCTCGCTACGGGCCTGGATCTGTTGTTGACTTTTCAATTCTGGCTTTGATGGCATTGGTTCGAATGGCTTGTTCTTGGGCTGCCAGAATCAGGCCCTCCATCTCTTTTTTCAAAGTTCCATTTGTGAGTATTATTTATTATTATTATTATTATTATTATTATTATTATTATTATTATTAGTCTGAAACAAAGCTTGGAAGCTTATTTCAAAAGCGCCTGAGAAGGCCTCCTCACTTTCATAGTGATAGTGAGGGTGGAGATACACCTAAGCAAAGCTATGGTTGTAACTCATGCAGGGGTTCAAAGCAAGAAGATTTGAGGTGAGGAGGTAGAGATGGTAAAAGTACTAGCAGAGAGAAACAAGCTGTTTCAGATAAGGCTCCTCCTTGCTTTGATTGAGACTCTGTCATCCCACACCAGCCCACAATGACACCCACACAGGGAGAGCAGAACAGAGAAGTCTTCAGGAAACTGTCTCGCACACCACTATTCCCTGATCTCTTCTTCTTCTTTACTTCTGAAGCTGCTGCCGCTTCCAAACTGCTGAAACAACTGGAGCAACTGGCCACTGAAGCAACTACTGAAGCTCATTTCATAAGGTGTTATTTAGCTTTATCAAAGTGAAGTTGATAGTCTGCTGTGAAATTACAACTGGGCAGAAAATGGGACATGCTTTATCATCTCTGAAAATACTTTGCTGCCAAAGTTGACAAGGGACCTTGTTTAGCAGCCTGGATTTGGTAAGTCTTTTTCCTGGTTTTATTCCTTCTCTCCTTCCTTTCTTTCAACATCTGGTCAAACTTAAACTGATTCTGTTCCAATAATCACGTGCAAACTTAATTACACCTCTTAAAATAAGTGAGATTTCAGACTACATAGCTTTTTCTTGGTTGTACTTTTTTAGTTTCTGTAATGCACACAGGGGGGTTTCCACTCCTCACAAAAGAACTGTTATGCAGAAGTAGTCATGCATCCCAAAGTGTTACACAAATAGCACTTTGGGACAGCGTGAACTCTAAGATCTTCTGGGGAGGCCCTCCTTTCGCTCCCGCCACCGTCACAAGTATGGTTGGTAGGGATGAAAGAGAGGGCCTTCTCAGTGGTGGCCCCCCGCCTCTGGAATGACCTTCCAGGGGAAATAAGATAGGCCCCATCCCTCCCCTCCTTTCGTAAGAACTTGAAGACCTGGTGGTTTCAACAAGCCTTTGAGAATGACCAGTTCTAGCTCGGCCCCAAACATTGTTGAATATGGCCTTATACTTCCTACCTAATACTGTTATTGAGATTATGTTTATTGTAATGTTATTTTGTTACTGTATTCATATGGTTTTTTATTTTGATGATGTTGCTTATTGTTTATTTTTTGGTTTTATTTTGTTGTAACATGTTGTCCGGGCTTGGCCCCATGTAAGCTGCTCCGAGTCCCCATTGGGGAGATGGTGGTGGGGTATAGAGATTTATTATTATTATTATCATCATCATCATCATCATCCCTGGAAATGAGCAGCCACAGACCCGTACCTGCTACTTCCATTAACCTGTTATAGCACTGTACTTAATTCCTGGCCCCCTCATATTTTGAGTTTGCACTAGCCTTGGCCCGCTTTTTAATTGCTATGAACAGGCAGCATTACTTTTAATATACATGTGTAATTGTGATAATTTTATGCTTATGTTGTTTTGTTAATGTTATGTTATGCTGTTTACTTTGTATGTTTCAGTGATGTTACTGGGAAACTGCCCTGAGTCCCCCTCGGGGAGATAGAGCGGTATATAAAGTTTTATATTTTTTATTTTGTGTTTAGAAACTTGGGATGCAGGGAGAAACCTATCATAATTCAGTAGATCATGCTCTTCTGAGATAAGTGTTCCAGGCCTAATTGAATTACAATGAATTCTACATATTCAAGACTGTGCAGTAAACCATAGCTTATGTGTGGGACAGGGGTTTTTTTTTTGGTCGTGTCAGGAGCGATTTGAGAAACTGCAAGTCGCTTCTGGTGTGAGAGAATTGACCGTCTGCAAGGATGTTGCCCAGGAGATGCCCGGATGATTTGATGTTTTTATCATCCTTGTGGGAGGCTTCTCTCATGTCCCTCATGTGGGACAAGTGATTGGTTTGAGGCCAAATCATATACATGGGTCTACTGGTGGTAGATCTACTGGGGATCTTCAGTATATATGAAGGATTTCTGAGCCCGGTCCCAACAAGATAGCTCTTCTCCTATCCTCAGGTGTCACCTCCAACAAATTATTCTATTGATTTCAAAGAAGAATGGAGTAACCAGAGGTGGCTTTTTGCAAGTATGGAAGGATTGTAGCTTCCATTCAATTCTAATGATCAATTCTGGACATAGAATTATTTCATTCAAAGCATCTCTTCCAAAAGAGATGCTAATCTTGTTTATCTATTGCAAACCATCCAAAGATCTATCAGTGAATTCATATCTATTTTTTAAACCTGTGAGAGTAACTCCAAGGATAAGGAACTTCCAAGAAGAAAAGATGAAGTCAAGAAGACAACTTCAGATGACAGTAAGACTAGAGGATAAAGTCATAGGCTGGGTTAATATGCAGAGTAGCAAAACCTTGTTTAGTATTATGTTAAAGTCAATTTCAAATTGTTGTTGTTCATTTGTTTCCGACTCTTCGTGACCTCATGGACCAGCCCACGCCAGAGCTCCCTGTCGACCGTCACCTCCCCCAGCTCCTTCAGAGTCAAGCCGTTCAATTCAAGGATACCATCCATCCATCTTGCCCTTGGTCGGCCCCTCTTCTTTTTTCCTTCCATTTTCCCCAGCATCATTGTCTTCTCTAAGCTTTCCTGTCTCCTCATGATGTGGCCAAAGTACTTCATCTTTGCCTCTACTATCCTTCCCTCCAATGAGCAGTCGGGCTTTATTTCCTGAACTATGGACTGGTTGGATCTTCTCACAGTCCAAGACACTCTCAGAACTTTCCTCCAACATCACAGTGCAAAAGCATCTATCTTCCTTTGCTCAGCCTTCCCTATGGTCCAGCTTTCACATCCGTAGGTTACTACAGGGAATACCATTGCTTTTACTATGCGGATCTTCGTTGCCAGCGTGATGTCTCTACTCTTCACTATTTTGTTGAGATTGGACATTGCTCTCCTCCCAAATAACATTCTGCCATATGTTTCAACTCGCTTTCTTCTAATTTGACTAATTATTGTATGTTTTTAGAAATTCACCAAATGTTAACAAGTTATGAGCTAAGCCTTTCTGTGAATTTGCATGAACAAGTTGTTTAGAGTACAGTCCAGCCAAACAATTATTATCCCATTTTAATGAGGTACATTTACACATTTATTTAATTTTACTATATCCTAGTTGCATAAATTCAGCATAATAAAGCACACTTATAAATACCCTCCCTAGTCTTGAAATCTAAGCAGGGTCAGGTCTGATTGTTGCTTGGATGGGAGACCGCCAACAAATACTAGGCTACATTTCAGAGGAAGGAACTGGCAAAACCACCTCTCAGTCCTCTTCCACACAGCTGAATAAAATCCCACATTTTCTACTTCGAACTGGAATAGATGGCAGTGTGGACTATCAATCAAATCAAATCATTTATTTCGGTCATTGACCAGCACAGGAAATAGAGTCACATTTCCATACAAACCTGGCATGTTTGGTACATTAAAAATATAAATATAACTACTAAAAGCACAATATGGGTGAGGGAGCAGGAGGGGAAATGGTAAAAACATACAATGCCCAGATCCATCACCAAATTGTAGATTCAGGGAAGAAGATTACTGGACACACAGTTGACTTTTGTGGACTAAGATAACCCAGTTCAAAGCAGATATTGTAGGATTTTCTGCATTGATATTCTGGGTTATATGGCTGTGTGGAGGGGTCCTCAGTATTCCTTGCCTAAGAAAACCCTATGAAATTAACAAGGCCACCATAACTTGAAGATGACTTGAAGACACACATGAGTTCAGAACACTAGATCCATACCTAATCAGAGTAGAACGGGCTACATCAAATGGACTTAAATTAGTTATTGGCTGGAATCTAGTTGGTGATCTCAACATGTTACTGCAGAAGGAGGTATGCAATATCTCCATGGTGCAATCACTCCCACTCAGCAACTTAGACCCCTCCTACACTGTCATATAAAATCCAGATTATCTGCTTTGAACTGGATTACATGGCAACATAGGGAGAGAGCTTTTTCCTTTGTACCCCCTCCCCCCCGACTCTGGAACTCATTACCTGGAGAGATTAGGAAAGCCCTTACCCTAGAAACCTTTAAAAAGAACCTTAAAACCTGGCTCTTCCGCTGCGCCTTTGGTAAGTAGGTATACAACCTCACACTATTGCACACTATTGCTCAATATTTTGTCATTAGAGTATACGCCCCCCCCCCCTTCGTGGGAAAACTTGATTCCACAACCCCCGTTTTAATGAGCCCTCCTCCGCAAATAACCTGCTTCTCCTTTATCTCACCCGAGTTTTTAATCAGTTTTTAATTAGTTTTTCTTTTTATCGTTACATATAGCCCGCCCATTGTCACTGTGATTGTGTTTATTATAATTTTATATCGTTATGCATTCATATGTTTTAGGTAATTATGGTGTTGTTGTTTATTGTTTGTGTTTTTGGTTTTATTCTGCTGTAAATTGTTGTTTGGGCTTGGCCTCATGTAAACCACCCTGAGTACCCATTGGGGAGATGGTGGCGGGGTATAAATAAAGTTTATTCATTGTTATTATTAATTAGTAGTGGCTGATGCTTCTCTTATATCCATTTGGCAACTAGGGAAGGGCAGGAATAGTCAGGTAGTGTCCAATTGCATCTGAAATACACAGAAAACATCTTTCTCCTGGACTGCTGAAATGCTATCTGTCTCCATGAAATGGGCATGATGTATATACTCATAGCTGCCCAGTAAATTGCACATATACAGAGGAGAGGGGAAGGTACATGTACAATTGGTAGCGAATTATAATTATTTGATTAATCTTCAGAAATTCAGCTAATATTAGTCAATGGTGAGTTGAGCAGCCCCAGTTGCTTAGGGTACAATCCAGCCAAAATTGCATCCTGCCAAACTGATGCAGAATTTCAGCCATGGATTCCAACAGATCAGTTCTGACCCAAAAGAGAAAATATCATTAACTGGTAATTGGCTTGGATTAGTGCAACATTTTATATGGAAATAGTCCATTAAAAAAAATCATTATGCTCTAAACAGCTAATACTCAGGTTTTTTTGGTGGAATGTCTTGTTCCATATATATCAAGGCCGTCATCTGTACCCTTCCTATGGTACCTTTGTTAACCAAGGCAAGGTGCGCATTTAGAAGAGTGAGGGAAGTGCCAATGGCAGCACTCACCTAAAGACTGCGCTCTGAAACTAAGCCCATTTGGTTTTGTATTTTTTTGGCACCAGGTAAGAAGCCTTTCAAAAAAGTTTTAGGCTTCTATATTTTAAAATCTTTGCACTTTTCACTGTTGCCGTTGGAATTGTTTTGCTTTTGTCACGAGCCGTTTGAGCTTTAGTTGATTTTTCACAACATAAAATCTATATAAATAAAAATGTAATGTTCGTTTGTGGGATTAACATAACTCAAAAACCACTGGACGAATCGACACCAAATTTGAAAACAAAACACATATCAGGCCAACAAATGACCATCACTCATAAAAACACAGAAAAACACAGAGGAAGGGACTTAAAAAGCCAAAAAAAATTAAAAATGC